TAATACATAATAATACATAATACATAATAAATAATACATAATAATACATAATAATCATATTACATAATACTTAATAAATAATACATAATAATACATAATAATCATAATACATAATACTTAATAAATAATACATAATAATACATAATAATCATAATACATAATACTTAATAAATAATACATAATAATACATAATAATACATAATAATCATAATACATAATACTTAATAAATAATACATAATAATACATAATAATACATAATAATACATAATACATAATAATACATAATAATACATAATAATCATAATACATAATACTTAATAAATAATACATAATAATACATAATACATAATACTTAATAAATAATACATAATAATACATAATAATCATAATACATAATACTTAATAAATACATAATAATACATAATAATCATAATACATAATACATAATAAATAATACATAATAATCATAATACATAATACTTAATAAATAATACATAATAATACATAATAATCATAATACATAATACTTAATAAATAATACATAATAATCATAATACATAATACATAATATACATACAATATAATACAATATACATAATACATAATATACATACAAGATAATACAATATACATAATACATAATAATCACTATTATCTGCAGGGATGCAGAGATTTCTGTGTATAAAGCTGAGTGAGTTACTGCTCTCAGAGCATGATAATACTCTGTGCCTAACTCTCTACCTACTCACGATCCCCACTACCATAGTCTCCACACGGTTCCCCCCCCCCCCGTGCCCCAGAGCGAAATCTAGCATATAATAGCGAACATTATAAGATCTGTGTGCGGTGGCTCCATCTGCAGGTCGGATTGAAGCGCGGAGATCAGATCCTTGAGGTGAATGGACAGAACTTTGAGCATATTTCCCACGGGAGGGCGCTGGAGGTGCTGCGAGGCTCAACGCATCTCGCCGTGACGGTGAAGAGCAACCTGCTAGGTTCGTGTGTCTCCTCTCCTCCTTCCTCCCCCTCTCCTCCCTTCCTGCCTCCCTCCCCCTCCCTTTCTTCTTCCTCCCCCTCCCTCCTGCTTCCCTCCCCCTCCCTTCCTTCTTCCCTCCCCCTCCCTTTCCTGCCTCCCTCCCCCTCTGCTCCTTCCTCCCCCTCCTTCTCTGCCTTCCTTCCCCCTCTTTCTTCCTTCCTCCCCTTTCACTTCCTGCCTCCCTCCCCCTCGCCTCCTGGCCTTCCTCCCCTCTCTTCCTTCCTCCCCCTCCCTTCCTCCCTCCCTCCCCCTCCCTTCCTTTTCCTCCCTTCCTTCCCTTCCTGCCTTCCTCCCCTCCCTCCTGCCTCCTCCCCCTCCTTCCTGCCTCCCTCCCCCCTTCCCTTTCCTGCCTCCTCCTCCTCCCTTCCTTCCTCCCTGCTCTCCGCCCTTCCCTTCCTGCCTCCCTTCCCCCTCACCTTCCTTGCCTTCCTCCCCTTCCCTCCTGCTCCTTCCCGCGCCTCCTTCCTGCCTCCCCTCCACGTCCTTTCTTCCTACCTTTATCTCTCCGGCATTCATTCCTAGCTTCCTCCTTCATTTATTCTCTACGCTTACTTTTTCGTCCCTTTTGCCTCCGTCCTGCTTCCCTCCTGCCTTATTGCCTCCTTTTCCTCCCTCTTCGAGTTATTTCTAATCTTTCCGGCAGTCGTGTTGAGTGACGGCGAGGTATGCAGCCTTTCTTGCCCGCCTTTCCTCTCCTTCTCTCCTTCCTCTCCTTCCTCTCCTTCCCTCTTTCTCCCTCTCCTCTCCTCTCCTCCCTCTCCTTCCTTTTTCTCTCTACGAATTTCAATTTCACCTTTGTTCTCCTACCCTTCCGCCGCCTCGCAGCGTTTCAAGAGATGCCGTTCTCTTATTTCCGTTTTCTTTCTCTTCTCTCTATGATTGTTCAACTTCCACGTTCCCAGGTTTCAAGGAGATGCTTTCGCTGCAAAGACTCAAGTTCCGGACGGCGGCGGCGGCCCCGCGTTGCCCGCGGGCACGCGCTAAGACCAGCCGGGACATCACGCTTTAACACGCCGACCGCCGCTCCGACGCGCTGTCGCGGCCGTCGCTTCCGCGCCGATCCTCGATGTGCGCTCACTGCGGCGCCTACATTGTCGGAGCCCGCATATCCATGTTCCGCCGCCAGGGCGCGCCCGCCGCCGCCGCGCGGGAGAAGAGCGGGGCACGAGCAGCGTGAGGAGGCGACGTGCGGGGGAGAGGTAGGAACGTATGAAGGGAGCTTCATGCGCTGGTGCCATCGAAACAAGCTGAGACGCGCTGCTCATGCGCATCAACCTCCTGCCCGATAGGGACTTTAACGAGGTGAGATCCGGTCGTTAGTGTTGGTCGCTAACGTGATGCAGTAACTGAAGGGAAATAACGAGGCCGAGTCGTCGTTATGTGTGGTGCTGCTAAACGATCGGCGTTAACGAAGGATACACGAGGCGATGTCGGTCGTTAGTGTGGCGCGGCTAACGATGCCGTTAACGAAGGACTAACGATGGTTGAGATCGCGTCGCGTTAGTGTGTGCGCCGCTAACGATGGCCGTTAATGAATGCGGACTAACGAGTTGAGTCCGGTTGTTTAGTGTGTTGCGCTAACGATGCGTACGAAGTGACTACGAGGTGAGTCGGTTTGTTTAGGTGTGCGCTAACGATGCGTTAACGAAGGGCGCGGGCGGCCGACTAACGGGCGAGTCCGGTCGTTAGTTGTGTCGCGCGCTATATTGATGCGTTACGAAGCGGAACTAACGAGTCTGTGGTCGGTTGTTTAGTGTGGTTGCCGCTAACGATCGTTTAACGAATGCGACTAATGAGGTGAGTCGGTTGTTAGTGTGTTGCGCTAACGATGCGTTAACGAAGGGACTAACGAGGTGAGTCGGTTGTTAGTGTGGCGCGCTAACGATGCGTTAACGAAGGGACTAACGAGGTGAGTCGGTCGTTAGTGTAACGCGCTAACGATGCGTTAATGAAGGGACTGATGAGGTACGTCGGTCGTTAGTGTGTCACACTAACGATGCGTTAACGAAGGGACTGACGAGGTACATGAACTTATAGACTGACACCCCTCTCACCTCTCCTCTCTCTCGTCTCCCCCCTAGCAGCGCAGACAGTCAGCTGAACAGCTCCGACGACAGTCTATACATGAACAGCCGAGCAGCGCTTCATTCGCCCGCGCTCAGCCATAGCAACCCGGATCTAACAACGATCGCCGCGGCGATGACGGCAGGCGGTTACGGGGTCGAGGACGGGCGACCGGACTTCCCCGAACACGTGCTCAAGGTGTACAAAGCGGACCAGACGTACAAGTACCTGCTAGTGCACAAGGTAGAGAGGGGTGTGTGCGGAGGGAGGGGTAGGGAGGGGTGTGTGCGGAGGAAGGGGTAGGGAGGTGTGTGTGCGGAGGGAGGGGTAGGGAGGGGTGTGTGCGGAGGGCAGGTGAGGGAGGGGTGTGTGCGGAGGGCAGGTGAGGGAGGGGTAGGGAGGGGTAGGGAGTGGGTGGTGTGAGAACAGCAAAAATTGGCATTCGTGTTAGACGAGGTTTATAATACGAAATTATATACATATGTAATTATATGGATAGTCGTTTTTTATTCTTATTATTATTATAATGTGTATACATTAAGTATATGTATATATATATATATATAGTATATAATATTATATATATAGTATATATAAAAAGATATATATATGATATAATATATAATAGTAAGTATATATATATATATATATATATATACATAACACCATCTCTACTATCGTGAGTTCACATCCCCATCTTCTCCTCGTTCTCATCGTTCCATCATCCCTATCTCTCTGCCTCGCTCTCATCATCTGCGCGTGCGTTGCCTAGGAGACGACGGCGAGGGAGGTGGTGATGCTGGCGCTGCGTGAGTTCGGCATCACAGACCCGAGCGGTGACTACTCACTGTGCGAGGTGTCCGTGGGTCACGGCGGAGTCATCAAGCAGCGCCGGCTGCCGGACCAGCTGGGGGGCCTCGCCGAGAGGATCCCGCTCGCGGCGCGGTACTACCTGAAGAATAACATGTGTACTGAGCAGCTGGTGGCGGACGACCTAGCACCGGAGCTACAGGTGAGAGAGAGGGAGGGGGAGGGGGAGGGGGGAGGGAAGGGGGGATGGGAGGGAGAGGGGGTATCATGCTGCTTGAATCACACATTTGCTATGCTATCGTCATCATCAGCAGCAGCAGTAGTAGTAGCAGCAGCAGCAGCAGCAGCAGCAGTAGTAGTAGTAGTAATAGTAGTAGCAGCAGCAGCAGCAGCAGTAGTAGTGCAGTAGTAGTAGCAGCAGTAAGCAGCATTATTAGTAAGGCAGGTAGAGCAGGCAGGGCAGTTAGTAGCAGCAGTACACAGGCAGTTAGTAGTAATAGTAGTAGCAGGCAGGCAGCAGCAGTAGCAAAGTAGTAGGGCAGCAGCAGCAGCAGGTAGCAGTAGCAGCAGTAGTTAGTAACAGGCAGCCAGCAAGTAGCAGCAGCAGCAGTATAGCAGCAGCAGGCAGTAGGCAGCAGGCAGCAGTGGCAGTAGCCGGCAGCAGTAGTAGTAGTAACAGGCAGGAGCAGCAGAGCAGCAAGGAGCAGCAGCAAGCAACAGAGGCAGGGGCAGATAGCATCTTCGATCCTAACGGCCTGCTCCTGACGTCTTTCCCCGGACAATATGCATCTGCAGAAGGAGAACCAGCAGAACATTCTGCAGCTGAAGTCGGTGGAATTGCGGCTCAGCTGACGCTGCATGACTTCTCCACTTCCGCCAGGTGGAGCCCGACGGAGTATGTGACGACCTCTACAACCTTGGCTCGTCCTACGGAACGCCCAAGCTCACCGAGTTTGCCAAGGTCAGCGTGTGGGGGGTCAGAGGTCAGAGTTGGGGGCAGAGGTCAAATAGGGGGTCAGGGATCAATATAGAAGGGATGATAGGAATAGAATAATACAGATAATAGGCCGAATATAGGGGGAATTTATATGCTAATTATTGCTATTGGATTACTGCTGATTATAGAGCTAGGTGGCGTGTTCTATAGTAACATGTATTTGTGCGTGTCGTTGTTCTAGGAGCGGTGACAAGGAGATGTTCTAAATAACTTATGCGTGATGATGATGAAGTGTGTGTTGTGGTGCGTGTGTGTGTGTGCTGTGTGTGTGTGTGTGCGTGCTGTGCGTGCGTGCGGGGCGTGCGTGCGCTGCGTGCGTGGCGTGCGTGCGTGCGTGCGTGCGCGTGCGTGCATGGTTATACGTTGTGTGTTCTATAGTATTACACGTACGCTCGTGTCGTGTATTAGCAGACGGGCTGAACAAGGAGATGTTTCTGGTCGTCGACGGAGTTTGTGCGAGAACTGAAACTTACTTGGCGTGCGATGAAGGTCATCAAACACTTTCGTGAAGATCGCAGCGTGAGGTCAG